GTGCCACTTGCTACCGCCCAGCTTACCCCTAGGGCTGGCGCCGGTAACATATAGGTCCTCTGGACGGGTTCTTCTTTAATGAAACGTTTCGTCTCTCTTCCAAGAGACTTCTTCAGTCTGAGAGTTTCAGGCAAAATTCAGGCTTTTATGTCCTGCCTCCAATTTTGCCTGAAACTCTCAGACTGAAGAAGTCTCTTGGAGGAGAGACGAAACGTTTCATTAAAGAAGAACCCGTCCAGAGGACCTATACAATTTTTTTTCCTTTAAATGGTTTAAAGTTTTGTAATTGCTCAAAATTTCAAAATTTAATTTATGCCAAGCTAATACATTAGTGAGTAAAATAAACATTTATGACTCTGTTCATTTGTTTTCATACTGTATTTCTTTGCTATTGCTAAAGCTAGAGGGGGCGGGGCCTCTGGGAAAGTGTGGGGTTTGTTGTTGTAGTGTAACTATCTCACCAGCAGGGGGCGGTGTTTGTCTGAGCGACTGAAAAAAAAGAGACGAAGAAGAAAAACCCTCTATCCGTTATTACGATGGCTTCACTTGACAGCGGAATGAAACCTCTTCAAAACGCCATGAAAATGGCCAAAGTTGCGATACAGCTGGACGGAGAGAACAAACCTAAGGTAGCGAGCTACACAGGACGACAGGGGGGATAAATATTTTTATTTTAAGCGGACAGGAAACGGAGGTTAACAGAGAGAAACGGAGGGGGCGGAGAGGGTAAACACCGTCATCTGCTTGTTGTATTTATTATTTAATACCTGTTGTGACAGTAAATGCTGTCTAATCTTGTTAAACTATAGAAAAGTAAAACACTTACAGCCATATTTCACCCAGGAGATGACTTCTATTTTATTTAATGAGTTACATGTAATTTCTCCTCATCCTCCTTCTTCTGTTGGTTATGTCCTTATTATCCCTGGCAGTATGGGCCAGATCTCGTGTTAAGCTGGCTGCTGGYATTAAAAGCGTTTTTTCAACAGGATGTGGGCCAGGTCTGGCAACGATGGTGTTGTTTTTAAAATGACATGGTTGTGGTTTGTTTTGTGTGGTGCTGGCCCAAGCATGGACCACCAAATGACTRTCTATATTTGTGGCATCTGCACAGAGTGCTAAAGAGTTTGGTAACTTGTGCGTGCCAGAGCTGGGYCAGACAAATTTTGCCATGTAGGTTTAATGTCCACTCTTGTCTTATTTCTTCCATATAAAAGCCCTGTTTATAAAATGTTTGCACAAATCTGTATTGTTTACCCTGCTAGTTACTAGACTTGTTTGTGGTCTTCCTGCAGGAAGCGTACTATGAATACCTACGGACCATCAACTATATATCGCATACACTTTTAGAGGAAGCAGACCCTCAAAGTAAGAATGTTTAGCTGTTTGCTAAAAACAAAAATATCTCTCTGTCTATCTGCACTGTGTAATAAATCAGTTCAAATTAAATAATCAGTTTAAAGGCATGCATAAAACCAAATCACATTTCTAACATATTAACCTTTCTTTAATAGAYTTGAATTAGATTATCCAGTCAGGGGGCCATTCCTTTAAATTATCATTTTTATACCTTTGTTTCTTTCTCTTYGACCTCAGAGGAGACGGAGATGGTGRCGGTCGAAGTGGAGCGAATGTTGAGATTAGCTGAGCAGTGTCTGGAGCGAGCCAAGTCTTTCATGGAAAAGCGCTCCGACCCTCCTGACCTTCCTACCTCGACTTCAACTGGCCAGTTAGAGCCTCTTCAGACTACTGGCCACCCCACTGCCACCACCGCAAACACCAGTGAGTTAAATCTTATCCTGTCAGGAGCATCTCCTTTAGAAATGCACTAACAAACAAATGGCTCCAGTTGAACTGTTTTCTCTCTTCCACATTAGACGTTGCGGCCCCTGCTGCTGATAGTCATATTGATGAACGGCACATAGTAGACAGCCCCACAAAAACCGGTTCCCGCCGGGTTTTGTCAGACGGTGGWGGAGAGCTGTCCCCTTTTCTGCCCCCCGAAGTCTTTCATCGATATCAAACAGTGGCTTCGCAGGACGCATGCAAAAAGTAAAGATTAGCTTTTGTCAGCAGCTGCTGATATAACTCCTTTCAAAATAAATGTTGCTTAAAATGAGTAACAAAGTACAAATAAGTACGAATTTATTCTAGCAAGTACATTTTGTAGTTCAATCAGTGAACAACACTTTGACCTGAAACTYCAATTATATATATGCAGTCTGGTGTTGGATTGCAGAATTTTATCAAATCTTAAAATGAAACTATTACAATGAGTTGTTTCAAATCTATTTTTGCWCATTTTTACATGCAGGTGAAATCTACTGACAGTGCTTTCAAATAATAAATCTAACGCAATAAAAATTTGGACTCAACCTCCTCTTTGGACAAGCCAAAAATGTTTGCTTTGATCAGTTTGTCTTGTTGACTGGTGCAGAGTCTGGTTTTATGCCTCTGACTTTTTTTCAATCTGGATGTTCTACAGAGAGCTGACGCCGTTAGAAGAAGCTTCTCGTTTGAACCAGAAGTTGAAAGCAAACTATGAAGCCCGTCTGGCAAGACTCGCACCTGGTCAGGCGTACCAGAAGACTTCTTTAGTAAGTTTGAAGAGTTTTTATTATAGAGTGTGATTAAAGAGAGACAGAACAGTTTTCAGTCTGTTTCTGCAAGTTTAATGTCATTTTAAGATTCGCACAATCATTTGTAGTTTTTGTCACAAATGACCTCCTGTTTCTTGATGCACAAATATCACTGTTACAATGAAACAAGCCTCTTGTAAATTCAGTTTCTTTACAGTTTTTATATTTGCTGTGAAGTATCTTAAGTTCTGGTTAGCAAAGACAAGACGTTGGATCTCGTTGACAGGATTTTGAGATGGTCTTTTTCACATTGACAACTCATACTTAAAGAGAAACTGCCTTGGAAAGCCCTCCCACTCTCCTCCCTCTGCAGCGCAYGCCATGTGCAAACTTCCTACGCTAAGGTGCACTTCCTTCCATTCAGCACAGCTACAGCTGCCAATCGGATGGTGTACTTGACAGCTACAGAGAGCTACCTGTGTCTGTGCCGTCTCCTCCATGCACAAAAATTGTGTTGTAAGAATAAGAACAGCTATTGTAGCTGTTAAAATTTTCCACAACCTAATTTCAGATCATCTGCAGGAAATTAAGAATCCACAACCCAAAGATGGACGCTCCTCGTCACTGATCCTCCAGACAACACCTTGTTAAGGACTGACAGTTGGCAGTGATTGATATAATCACAACAAAAAGAGATTACTCTGGGAAACGTCAATCATTATAATATGGAGTCATATAACAACTGCCACTTTATGCTTTTTATTATTGTTGTTGTTGTTGTGAAGCACCTTGTGGTTATTTGACTGTGAATGGTGCTATATAAATAAAGTTACTTTTTTACTTACACTTAATGCTTTAGTGTGCACCATGTCATTTTTGATTGCCTCATCCTGAGGTGAGTTAATGTTTTCAGTTGCCTAAAACAGTGATATTAAGAATACATTGTGTTTATTTGTCAACATCTCTAAATTACCTTCAAATTGACAGCCAAGGTTTATATATTTTTATATATTTTTGAGATGGTTTTCCGTAAAAATTCAATAAAACTGGTTATTCAAATCGCTGTGTATATGTATAGTTATGATGAAGGTTTATATACTGTTATTCATCTTAGCTGGGATGATTCTGATCTTCTCAAAATGGTTTGAAATATGGATTTGATGTTATTGTGTCCTAATTTTAATCTGCATTAAAAAAGTTAAAAATACAGCACAGAGCTTGAATAATCCAAATATTCAAATCATGGTCACATCAATTAATTGTGCTTTTGCAAGAGTAGTCTGTTAATTAATTTAGTAACTCCATAAATGAATGTGTAAGGACAATAGTAATACAGATTTTTATTTATTTAATTAGGCAATTTAAGCATCCAATTTTACAAGTTTACAAAGCAAATTTAAAATATAGTACGTTGGACAAAACTGCCATAAAATAAGTGAAAATAAATAGTATTATTTAAACAGTGTAAAACACAACAAATACATATAATTAGAGTTTAAAAAATATTTATGAACCTAAAAATAAATTAAATCGGCGGGGTTTAAATATGTCCAGAATGTAGACTTCCGGTGCTTTTATTTTGAATTTGATTGCATTTCCGGTAGGCCGGTAGCTAAGTTTGTGATGTAAATCCAGGTGAGCGGGTGTGCTGGAGAAACTTCTGGCTTATTTAACTTTAGATAAAGTCGAAGTTTCTTAGAAGACGCCTTATTCCTAGATTTATTTTTTCTTTGTCCTGGCTTGTTGGAGTGACCAACTTCTGAAACTGAGAAAAGAAAAATGGTAAGCTGTGTGATTTATTGGAATATTAGTGGAAAAACTATTTTATCTGGTTAATTTCAGACCTTCATTTACAACGTATATTTTCATTTAGATAAGGAAAATGTTTCGACATCAAGTGGAGCTCCGTCCTTATTGGAGAAAACTAAAGACTTTCGTAAAGGTAAAGTGAGGTTAATTAACGTCAGGTACGTTTTTTCTCACGTGAGCTAAGATACGTAAACGTTACGTTCGTTTGGTGATTTGATGCGGAAAACTATAAAACTGTCACTTCAAAAGGACAAAGAAAAGTTTACAAAATCGCACTTTAACTATTTATTTATTCATTTATTTTTATTTATTTATTGTTAAAGCTTATTATATTTAGTGTGTACAGTTGTGCGATGCAATTTAATTTGTAAATAAAGTTACTGATTTGTATTGTTGTTGTAAAAACATGATAAATTAATTAAATATTTGGAGCCGCTACACATTTTCTGCCACCTTTATGTGATTTTTAATTTTTTATTATTATTTTACCAAAACTAAATTATCTTTTGTGTAATTATAGTTTGCATTTGTCAGACATTTTAACAAATTTTCTGTGTTTACAAGTAACTAAACATGTTATCCCGCTGTGTTATCTGGGTGTTTGTAGCCTTAATGTGATAAAGGCAGCTTGTGAAATGTTTTGGTGTTTTTTGTAAAAAGAAAAAAAGAAAAAGACACATTTTTCTTTTCTTTTCTTTTCTGTGCTCGTTTTTCTTTTTTAAACCTTTGTAACCTAATGGGACTTACTGTGACTTTAAGCTTTTATTTCATTGTTTTTTTTAAGTAAGTAAGTAAAGTTTTATTTATAAAGCGCCTTTCACAGAAATATATTCACAAGGTGCTGTACAGTCATGAACAGTATAAAAATGGTGGGAAGAATAAAATGAAACTGAAAAACATAATTACACATAAGCAATGAAAAATGTATAAAAATGGTGGAAAGAATAAAATGAAACTGAAAAACATAATTACACATAAGCAATGAAAAATGTATAAAAATGGTGGAAAGAATAAAATGAAACTGAAAAACATAATTACACATAAGCAATGAAAAATTGAAACATCAAATCAAGAAATTTATTTCAAAAATTGTAAATCAAACACAAGGTCAATGCAGTTCAAAATATACAATAATACACAAAAACTTAATGAATGCAGGAGAGAAAAATAAGGTGTAAGTTAATTAACCTCAGTATATTTCAGACTCAGTTTTTTTTAACTCAAAATGTTACAAAGAGAAACATGTTGACATATTTTGTTTCACTCTTCAATATTTGTTTAGAAAAACTCACAAATGTTAAATGGCAACAGTTCAAGTCTTCTTTTTTGTTGTAATGTAAATGGTGAACAGATGTTTATGTAAGGTGTAAAATTTAAAACCTACTTAGTCAATATCCAGAAAAATTTCTTCACGATGCATACTGGACTATATGAATATGCTACAGACTATGTTTACTAGTTACATTTATGTTTGCAGCTGATGAATCCAAACTTTGTCTGAAGTGCAAAAAAAAGGTTGAGAAAATATAATTTGTTGTTGAAAGCCAACATATAGGAACATATCACTTTRTGTCTCTTTTGTTAAACAAAGACTGATGAAGGCTGATTTTCATGCTAGTTTGTTTTGATTGTGTGATTGTTATTGAGCTGCATTGCAAGTCTTGTTTTTGTTATTTTTGCCAATAAACTTTGAAATGAAAAAGCCTGAAATGTTTGTCATTTCTTTAAAATGTACGGTTTGCAATTTACCCTTAGTAAACCTACAAGGTCATACATTAAAACCCTTTTCTTTCTTTTGTTCTCCTTGATGCAGACGCTCTCTCTCCAGCGGCAGATGATGGAAAATCTCATCATAGCCAAAGCCAGGCAAGATGCTGTATCTTTTTGATAACTTATTTGTTGTGAAAAATCTCAATATTACAGTGGTTTGTTTATAGTGTTTTTATTTCTCTGATGCTTTATTCCTAACTAAACACATTTAGCTTGCATTTGTGGTGAAAAGCTTTAAAAACAAATATTCCAAAGAAAACAGGTGTTCATTCTACTGAGAGAGATTTTCACATTGTTGATGTTTAACAAATAATTTCTCAGTTTCAGGCACAATCACTTATCTGATCTGATTTGAAGTTATTTGGAAGTTTTCTTAATTTTGACACCAGCTTCAACGGAAGATGGAGGCGAGAAGATTGAGGCTACAGGAGGAAGCCAACAGGTATACACAAATATATATTTTTAGGTGTACATTTTGGCTCCCCTCCTTATTTTGCTCTTGTTAGTATGATCAGTTACTATGTTTAGACATTCCCTGTGTAGTGAGTTGCTTCCAGTTAGTTTTTCATTAATTCTGGCAGTGATATTCACACAGTCTTTGCGCTCCAAAGCGCATCAAAATTCAGAAAAACAAAAGTATGTGTCACTATCTAAAGCTGGACAGTTTCAAAGCTCAGTTAATTCTCCTTAAACAGTTTTTTTGTTTAAAAATAATATTGATATTGATTATTTGATGATTAATACATTCACAAAAAAATTGGTTTTGTCGGGCTTATAGTTTTTCTAGTAACAGTGTGTTAAGTTCAGTGGCAGATGTCCCATAAACACCGTAAAGGGTATTGATTTCTATTTTGTGCAATATTTATTTAGGTATTGACTTTCTACACTTTCTAATCAAAACAATACAATCCACGTCTTGATTAAAGTTAACTGTGGTCCCTTCAAGGTTGGTAAATATTGTGCGTCTGCCTGAAAAGCCACAAATCAATAATGTAAACAAGCTCGTGTTGGTGTCTTTATCTTTACAGGAGGTTTGCTGCATCTGGAGCAATGACAGCGGAAGAGGAGGAGCAGCGTTCTCTTTATGCTAATGTGCTGGAATATGAGCAGGATCATGTAAGTGTGGTTGAGAACGTCAAACATAACCAACCATTTGTCTTCAGAATTWGTGCCACCCATACAGGAAAATCACAGCTGCTCTGAATTTATTATCTTTCTTTGTGCTTTTAGGATTGGCCCAAACTGTGGAAAGCCAACATAAAGAAGAACCCTGATATCACATTAGTGTCAGATTTGGTCTCTTATCTGCTCAGGTAAATGATGACAATATGAGGGTTTAAGATGACATCTGTTTTTTGTTTTAAATTCAGTAACTCAGACCCTGAGAAAGAAAAATAAATTCACAAAAGGTTCAGTCACAAAGTTTAGGGTTGTTTCTGTTTGTTTGCTAAGTTTGGGTTTGCTAAATGGGAAATTCTTAGTTTTGGAYTTTGTGTTGAGCTGTTTGAGCAAATCAAAATGTCTGTTATAAAACTCTTATTTTTATCCTCAAGTCTTTAATCAGTGTTTTTGCTCGATTTGAGTTGAGCTCACAGAATTATCAATAACTCTGTCGCAGACTGAACCTTTGCCTCTTTATATTTGACAGGATTTGGTTTCAGTCACGTTTCCCACAAAAAACAAACAAACATTTAAGCGCAACTCGCAATTATCACCTTCTTTATTTGTTTTAATCTAATTTAAAACTAACTTGATGTTGCCTTCCCATTTTAGAGGATTTATTAGTATTTATTAGGGGTAGTGTTGTRGTAAAGACCACMTAACCGAAGACCAAGACTTTTAGGGCCTGGACCAAGTTGAGGGCGAGACCGTTGTTGTTTYACAACAATATTATTTATGATTTATGTAGCTAAATTGTTTTACTTCATATTTTGAAGACATTTTCTACCACTCCCAGAGAACCACTGCTCACTTTCCTGGAGTGCTGCATGTGAGTGGATTTGAATCAGTATATTTCAATCCAAAGAAAGCAAGAATGTTAACAAATAAATTGGACAATTGTGGTCTTGACTGGTCTTGAAATAAAATTTTGAGTCCTCAATGTCCAAGACCAAGACAAGATCGAGCACAAATGCTGTCAGATCATCAAAAAGTGGTCTTGAAACTGGTCTTAAGACCAAGACCGATCTCAAGTACTACAACACTAATTAGGGATGCAACAATTCATATATCTGTATCAAACCGTTCAATGAAGAGCTTTAGGTTCAATACACACTATGAAAAATACAAATGTTTAAAAAGAAAAAAATTGTATAGGTCGTCTGGACGGGTTCTTCTCTAATGAAACGTTTAGTCTCTTCTCCAAGAGACTTCTTCAGTCTGAGAGTTTCAGGCAAAATTCAGGCTTTTAAGCCCAGCCTTTGTGTGACTGATACTCACATCACATGGCCATCGTTGACACCTAATTACCACTTATTGTTTACGGGGTGGAGTGACACTGGCAATGGCCGCGCTGTAGGAGGGGGACAGTTGAGTCATTGGTCATCTTTTACCTGTAAAAATCAGACTGACACACTATAAGTGAAATAAAACAAGTCTTTGTCTTAGAATTTCAATTGAATTGAAAAGATTACTGAGATGCATCAGGACACAAATGTTTAAAATTTTATTTTATCAGCTTGTCTTCTGAAGATGCTCTGTGTTGAAGGATCAGTGGATCTGTGTTCCACTACACCACCTAGGCTACATTGTAGAGTGCAAATCCACTGAGAAACTTTTAATTTAAAAACTGGACTTTTGAGTTTAAACAAATGTTCGTAATTAATTTCAMTAAATTACAAGTTAAGAAGGGCATGGACATTTCTCTTTTTTGTATCGAAAAAATATTGAACCTTGAGTGACACTGAAATATCAAACCGAATCATGAATTTTCTGTATCGTTGTAACCCTAGTATTCATGTGTTTGTTTGTTTGTTTTTTGTCAGCCGGTCTGATCATCCTGTAGTGAAGCTGCTGAGGAAACGTCAGTACAGGATTTACAACAAGCTTTACCCCATCGTTAGTAAAAGTCTTCCTCAGAGTCCTGCCTTGTCCCTCAGATCTTCACACAGCGTTCACAGCTTGATTCATCCAGGTAAAAACTACAGTCAGGTGTTTGTGGGAGGGGGTTCAACAGGCCCAGTTTAATTCTTCAGGTATGTTTGAAAATATAATTTAGTAAATGCCTTGTTTAGATTGACTAATCAAACAATTTATGTGAAAACTCAGCTTCAGAGAGTCACAGGAAGTCCTTCAGGATGGCCAGCTGTAGTCTGGGTGGTCAGAGCTTCAGCACCGACTCCTCGCTGTCCCCCCTAAACTCTCACAACAACACCAACTTGGAAGACGAGGACGTGGACCCAGAGGAGCCTCCCACACAGGATACCATAGACCGGGAGAACTCGTTTGAAGATCTGGAGCAGTTCCTGTCCCAGCTGGACTGGACTCCACCTCGCTGCAGCACAAACGACAGCACCTTGGACTCTGAGCTGACCTGCGATCCTTCGATGGAGCTGGACGAGAGCCACATGGAGGAGCTGGAGATGAGGGCGCTCAAGGAACACCTGAAGTCTATCGTGAAGGACATTCATATAGCAATCGGTGAGTCAGTGTAGATGTGTATTATTTTTTACCACCTTAAAGTGCCTGTGACATCAAATATGAAATGTTTTCAGAAAGAGCAGAAGAAGAGTCACTAAAGATTTTTATCGTGTTTGTCATCACTTCCTGTTTCACTTTGGTCGTGCCAAGTAAAAAAAAATGCCAGTTGTTACAAAATGATTAAAAAATGTATCAAAACGTTTTCTTCCACTTTTTGTACCTAAGAAATGCATGTCACAGGAACTTTACAGAAAGATTTCTGATAAGTGATTCTGACTCTTGGCTTTTTTATGTTTCAGATCAGCTTCTTTCACTTTGTTTGCTGTCCTTTGAGTGTCTAAACACGGCCAGGTTTAAGGATTTGTGTCTCGCCAGCATCGAGGAAACCTTCTTCACTCCTTTGTGGGGTGCTCTGATGGCTCTTTTCAGGTAGTGGATCCTTATTTCGTTATCCACTGTAATTAAAATACCTTTTTTTTCCCCCCAGCCTAATGTTTGCCTTTCGTCGTCAGGAGGGTCCACAGGGACAGGGAGCAAGCGTTTGAGAAAAGTCTGAGGTTGTTTTGTGACGCCTCTCCAGGAGATGTCGGTGTTCCCCAGAAACTGTTCCCTCAGGACTTGGGTACTCTCCAAGTTTCCTACCCCTACGAGACTGCTGTTCAGGAACTGAAGCTTCTCTTTAGAGACTGCTGTCCGCAGAGGAAGCTGGAATGTATAGGTTAGTGATGTTTGTTTAAAAGTCATATTGTGAATGTAGATAAATTTGAGATTTTCATCTTAAGAGGCAGTCAGACTTTAAGTTTGATATCAAACAAACATGTAAAGAGTGGTCATAAATAAAGATTTTAAAACACTTAGCCATATACAAATTGTAGGTACTATTCATGTTTTCATGGCAGATATGATTGAATTGCTTATAAGGACTGTCTAAAGCTTTAATTCCTGTTGGTTCTTTTAAAATAAAACAGTTCTAGTGTTGTTTTAAGACTAGTGCCCGTTCTGTTTTTTAAAGCTTTGGTTGTGCAACATCAAACCATAAAGGCATCACAGATGCACTTCACTGCAGAGCCTTTTTTTATGTTTTATTTTTATAAAGTCAGTTTAATTTGTGAATGAGTTTTTAAACAACGGTCTGAGGTTTTAATCAATCTGTACATTTCCAAACAAGATTTATGCACATCAATCCAAAAAGGATTTAGAGATAACCGGTGACTTTTTCTAGAACACAACCTTTTCCTTCATGTTCCTGTGGGTGGTGCTCTTTTCTTCATGTAGCCGTCATATACAAGCAACAATATCCTGGACCTGTTGTTGCTATATTTAACTAATGTTCCTGTTTTTACATGGTCATATTTGAAGCACTGATTATTACAGAAAGATTGAAAACAAAATAATTCAACCAGTTTCGTGCCTCTGCTTTTTATTCCTGGTTACAGTTCGAACGTTACGTCTGATCTGTGCTTGTGCTGAGGAGTACAGGTGTCTCCAGGAGGTGGATTCTGCTCCTAAAACTGCAGCCGTGTGAGTAAATCTTCAATTGCATTAAGTCCCTGCAGGAAAAAATAAAGCCAAATTTGTCACTGAGGAATTTGCCGTTGACTGCGTGGATGGTTTTGTTTTGTCCTATAAATTTCCCCAGCAGTCGCCTCATTCAACTTCCAAATCCATTTCCTCATTCGCCCTGTGCATATATTAGAGGAGGGGAAGGGAGGGCGCTTTCAGAAGTCCTTTGGAATTACAGAACATAAATGAAGGACTCGGTGCCCCGGTAGCTGCACTGTCAGGTCTCATCAGTGCTCACTCAGGTTTGGCACAGCAGGGGCTGTCCTGGGTCTGTTGCCCCCCTGCAGAGTGCTTCTCTCTGACCGGGCCCTAAAGTGGGTCGTTTTGTCTGAGTTTGAAATGAACCAAAGACCCAATAAGCCGCTTGGGAGAGAAGTACAACAGAAATTGGTATTTGTTGACCAAATAATGATGATCTGAGAGTCGAAGGCTGAGGAGGTTGCCACACTCATAATTGAGGACGTACGTGAGTTTAGTCCGTGTTGACAAATACATGTAGTTCTTATTGTGGCTTCAAATTAAACACTGAACCAGATCACAAAAAGCAAACTGTGCTCTACTTATGATAATCACAACCCAGGTCATCTTTTACCTGTAAAAATCAGACTGACACACTATAAGTGAAATAAAACAAGACTTTGTCTTAGAATAAACWTTAATTGGCTCCTCAAACTTAAGCATTATATCTTAAGCACTTTGGTTATGAGATAAACATCCCCTAAAGATTTAAATTCAGTTCAAAACCAATTAAAAATTTACATTTTTCTTTAAAAAAATCCACATAATTTATCATAGTTCTCAATTCACATTTATTTTTTCCTCTTTAGTTAGATCTCCTCTAATTTTTTTATTTTTTTTATTTTTTTGTGAGAAAGGGGGAAAAAAAACCTGAGGCGATGTCTGCTGTTCCATATCTGTCTCCTTTTATTGGCGTCTGTGTGAAATGATCATACTTGGCTGAGGAAAAGAGTTGATTGGGTTCTGGGGGCACAGCACTCAAACCTTTTTTTTTAAATTTAATCTAATTTTATTTTTTGGTGACACTCAAAGATTGTTCCGTGCTCTCGGCACCCTAAAACAAGTTGTTCTTTCCAAGAAATCAAAAAATGAAAACACAAGATGAATAAAAAAGCATAAAAACTGTAAATGCCAGATTATTTGTATCCAAGAACATTTTTTAAAAATAGAACACACATATTCTCAAACACAAGTTTAAATATTGCCCTCCTAAATAGTTTTTAAGGTCAGCAGCAAGATTTAATTTGACTTGGATGCTTTTGTCATTTTTTTTGTTTCTGCTTCTGTTATAACTTTCTTATTTTGTTTAAAAATATTTTCCCTGTATATTCTGTTTGTTTGTTCCTCTATCAGACATTGTAACAGAGCAAACCCAGAGCTTAAACTGATTTAAACTCTAATTAGTATTTATCCGTGGGACTGGGAGTGCGTTGCTGCTCTGGAATGCAGAAGCCGAAGTTGTCGTGTGAGGAGATGGTTGTTTACAAAGAGAACCCTGACAAATATAATTCAGGGTTGCGATTGTGTGCGTATGTGTGGTCCAGCGCTCGACGGTTACATGAGCCGATCCACACCTTCCAGAGTCTGCAGAAGAAGAGTATCCAGTTGCGTGCAGCCAGGTCAGTTGAAGGCCACCGACCTGCTTTCTCACGCAATCGAGCCAAGTAGCAGTTAGCTGTGCGTGAGAGTCCTGATAAACAACCGAGCTAAGCTATCAGACCATCATCTCCCAGAATTCACGTTGTCCAACCAGCAGATCTCATGGAAACTTAATGGCTTTGTAATCTCCAGTTCTGAACACATTAAGAGTTTTGTTTGATTTGTTTTCGTTCATTCCTCCAGAGAGGGAGCACTCCTAAATGCTTTACAGATGTCATCTTTTTTTGTTGTTGCTCTGTTTATTTTGTCTGTTTTTACAACCTCTTATCGTTCCTTCTGACAGCGGCGCAGACGACCTGCTGCCCATCCTGTCCTTCGTGGCCCTGCGTTGTCAGTGTCCCCAGCTGGTGTCAGAATGTGCAGCTTTGGAGGAGTTCATTCATGAGGGGTGAGTCATCTTTACGGAAAAGGAGCCTTGTTGGCATTTATTTTTGGAAAAATGARAGCATTCAGAGGTGGCTAGTTCCTGGGGTGAGGGATGGAGTATTTCAGCCTGAGAATAGATTAGGGTTTGGTTTTCAGATTATTTGAATTTATCTTAAAATTTAGCAGTTAAAGGCATCTGGTGGCGTGCGAGTCCTCGCCCCACCCTAAAGGTCTAGTTGTGACCATTAAAAACTCAGGGCTCTTAAAAGGCAGCTGGTTAGATTAGCTCCTGCCAGAAAATGTCTGGATATTTGAGATTTGGGGTTTTCTGCCCAATAAAAATGCAAATAAAGTCCCACTTTTATTTTTTATACAGCTCGGTGGGTTGGAACTGTTTAAGTGAAGGGAAGATGAGGAGAACCACAAAACTACAAGAAGGAAGTTCAGTCAGAGCACGTGGGATTTAAAATCTGACTGGATACAGTTCAGAATATAAACCAGTGATGTTTAAAACTTGCAGTTTTTAAAGCTGTCTTTGCATAAAACATTGCTACTTTTGCTTTTTTATTTTAGAACTCCTTGCCTGGATTGTAAATCTGTCTTTAACATTTCCTGAAATGTCACATTTTTGTAATAATCAGACAATATTCGTGGGTGAAGCTCACTGAGGTTTCTTTATTTGCTTAATTGAGCAAAATGACATTTTTCTATCAAGAATTTGCACTTGATCAAAGAGGGTAATTCTGAGTTTGTCCTAAACTCAAGCATTTCCTTTTGGTTACTCTGCCAAACGAACAGAACATTAGTTACATTTCAGCATGTTTCCAGGTCACAGCCGATCCTCTACGTCCTCCATGTTTGTTTTGCAGCGCAGTGCAGCATCTTGGCTGCGGCTCGTCTCATGTCTCGCCCTCGTTTGTCCGAGGTCAGCCGAGGTTTCTTCACAGCCCTCCTCTCCCACACAGACTGCCGTCTCTGGAAAAGAAAACTCTGACTCATCACTTCATCTATTCATGTATCAATCCCCCCTGTCATCAATTTCCCCACCCTTATTAGAGAACAAAGGTTTTCAAACGGAAGAAGACAACTCATTTACCTGCAGAAATCTTTTTGTTTTATTGCCCACTACCGACAAATCTGCTGTTATCAGAAAAAAAGCTCAGTTCTTTGATGGATGTTTGGGATTTTCTTCGGCTTTCTGTGCACAACTCTTTATATTTGCTGTCAGAAAGTTGAACTTACTCCTCATCCTCTCTTTCAGCTATTTGATAGGGGAGGAAGGCTACTGTCTCACCTCCTTGCAGAGTGCCTTGGCCTTCGTTGAGTCGCTGCACGCGAGAGCTCACCTTCCTGTGAATGTGCATGTTTGAAGAAGGTAAGTTGCTTTTTTAAGCAAGTAGCCAACCATTAAGATGAGTAACTCAAGTGTAGGTCTTCAGATTAAAAGTGTTTTTGATTTTTATTAAGAAGCAGTCTAGCAGAGAGAGCAGCAATGTGTCCTGAGAGATTTGCCACACCCAAGCAGAGAATTTGGTGCATCGTTTTGTGGAATTAATAAAACCCCAAAATAGTTCCTGAGTCCCATAATATTCACCTTGTGCACTTTATTTTAGACATTCAGTTGAAGAGAGTAGAGAAATTTCTGACGAAACTGTACTTCGCACAAAAAGTAAGRATATTTGTGTTTGGTAGATTCTTTCTTTGTAATAATWCTTTTTGGCACCTGATTGGAGGCATTGTTGCAATTAAATGATCTACCAAACACACATTTCCTTCTCGTTTGTCCTATGTATAGGTTATAAATGTTTATAAACTTATGCAATTACACAAAAGACATCCAGATTTCAAACTTTGAACTGTATAATAGTTTCTTCCATACATCTCATTTTGTTGGTGGTTGTGGTCTCACTTCTTTTCCACTGTCGTTCCACATTTTTGTGCAACGTAATGCAGCTATTTATGACATTTTGGACTTCCTTTTAGGAAATGCCATGTAGACAATTTAAATGCATTTTGTGTATCTCATGTAAATGTGACACGAATAGAGGAAACCATAGTTTACATTAAACCAGTGGTTCTCAAAGTGAGGGGTGTGCCCMCTAGAGGAGGCGCAATGCCATTGCAGGAGTATGACTGAATGAAAAACATGGATGTTTGGGCACTGCTAGCATAATGGACGTGTTTTTTTTAATGGGGCTCCCACTGAAATGCAAAGAAATGAGGATTAAAAGTGTAATTTTTGCTCAACAAACCTTTAAGTGGGGGTTGCAGAAATTGTCTCAAAAACCAAAGAGGGAGCTGCTTTTTTAAACTGAGGTTGTTTCGTTAAAAAATTTTTTTGCGTTTTATGTTTGTATGAGATTAAATGTGTTTCATTTACATAAATCAGTTTTTAAGTACCTTTTTAATATATATAATTTTTTTAATCAAAAGGTTGCATATTTCTTAAGCACACTTTTCACATTGGGATTGTTGGGTTTGATTGGTCGCTTCAGAAATGTTTAAAACTGCTCTGCTTGTTCGTGGAACGTAGGCCATTTTTTATTATTATTTTAATTTTTGCCATTAGAATAAAATTGAGGTTGGGTAGATGGAGGGAGGGATAAAGTTGACTGAAACCGATGCAGGAGTGAGTGTGCTGCCGACAGGCCTGTCTGGCACCCGGAGTAATGTTTCYACGCTGCGACTTGACAGGACGTGGCGCAAAGATGGTTATAAAATGTGACATCCTCAAGCGGCGTACCCCAAAACTTTCAGTGACACAACTGTTCCACTGCTGCCAACTATTTAGTTTCACAGGCTTCACAGCGCTGTCACTTATCTGCTGAGTGGCTCGGCTGAAGAGAGGAAACCTGCTGAACCCTTCAWAAAGAGCAGATCTAGTTTTTTATCTTTAGATTTTGTAGATGGTTGTTTCACCTACATTTTCTCGTAATGTCTAATATATTCAACGACTTTATTGTCCTTGGTTGTTAAAGGTTTTACACCCACTGCAAAAGGAAAAAAATATCCACAGTTTGCTTACAGTGTGAGGAAAATCATAGATTTTAATTTTGCTTTGTTTTAGAATGCTGCTCATCCTCCAGAGAACTTCCTTCTCTTCCTCGCTGCGGCTCGACAGTGATGACCCTGCAACTCCCTGCAAGTTGACGCATGTTCTGCACAAACACACACTTTATACCCAAACTGAAAGACCTTTTATTTGCTCGGTTTCTGAAACTGAACCAGTGCCTTTAAGCCACCCACTAACCAAGTCAAACACTAAGCTTAATCAAACTTCAACCTGAGTCATCGCTCTGAAATTAGCACTGAAATGAAGTTCGAGTTGTGACGAGATGACGAGCTGCAGGTCGATTTCTGTAATCAAAGATGCGTCATTTATTTGCTCTTTAAGGTGTGATTGTCCTATCTTTACTGCTTCCTTTCATTATTTTAATTTGTGGTACTTTTTAATGTTTGAACTTTCTCTGCAGCTTGAAGCAACAATCATGTTCTACAAACCAGTTATGGTCATAAAACGAGACCTTTTAGGTGAATACTTGGTGAAGATCCAAATAAGTGAGGCAATAATATAATAAATAAAAAAAAAAGTTATTTATGTGAATCAGAACTGCAGTAATTCCAGGTTGAAACTAAAACAATGCACTACTAATTGTGTTCATGTTAAAGCTGACACTGATTCATGTTTGAGTTTGGTTAACATTTTGTTTTGAAAACATGGTAAAGGGCAACACTGATTTAAAACATGTGTGTTTGTGTATAAAAAGCAAAAAGTGTCAAAGCTGTTAAATTGTGCACTGTGGTCTCGATGAAGGGTTATGATGAGGTGAAAATTTGGGAGCAGATTGATGTGAGGAGCTGGAGGACCTCAGGGATGATTTCTAAGTGCTCCTAAGTCTTCGTAGCGTCTGATAGTCATGTTTAGGAGCTGCTGTAGCACCTTTGTGTCTCACTTTGTGTTGTCTTGTTCGCCCGCTAAATGGACTGCAGGTGCAAGAAACTCGCTTCTATTTTTGATAATTGTTCTGCGTATGCAACAGTTGATGGATTTTTTTTTGTTTTATGATCCACATGCATACAGATTTTAATATATATATTTTTGCCTTGAATGTGTGTTTTTTGTTGTTTTTTTTCATCCCAGTTCATTCCTCTCCACTGACATTCATTTACCTGAGCTACAAGTTTGCCATGAATATAAATCATTAATCCACAGGCAGTTTACATGGCGCCTTTTTTTAAACAACCAAAAAAAAAAACATAAGATGTATGAAATAGATCATGTAGTTTAACATTTTTTGCTCTTCTGTGGAAATTTTTTTAATGACAAAGTATATCTAAATTTYTTGTGATTTTGCTTTTTTTAAATGCCCTTTTCTGAACTCAACTGATTTGCTTTTAATCCATTTATTAGACAGAAAATATTCAAACAAATCGTGTGGTGGAATAAAATGCAGGTAGCAGATGAACAGTTTTTAATCGGGTTTTATTCACATCAAACTTAAATAAACTCACCCCCACTTACACTTAAATTGTTTCATGATTTATATTTTTTTAATCTTTGGTTTAATGAAGTTACTGTGATTACTTTTTATATGGGTCCAAAATATGTAAAGAAAAAAAAATTGGGATTATTTTGTAAAATAAACAACTGAACATATAACTGTTAACATTAAATATGGCAGTATACTGTGAAAAATTACAAAGTGGTTTAAGCCACTACGTGCATAAGAATGATTTATTGTACTTTTTATGATTTTTTTCTTTGTAAAAATTAAACGTGTCATTTTATTAAACTGTACAGTGAATGTTGGAGCTTTGTAAATGTTTGCAAAGAGAGTCAATAAAAAGATGAAAATGTTTAAATACATTTTAATTATATTTATTTCTGTCTATTTGAAGGACCTGAATTAACAAAATAGGTGTTGATTTTTTTCAGAGTGGCAGTAATAGGCTCAGCGTTGAAGAGAGTTGATGTTTCAGTCACTTGTTACGTTGTTCTTTGTGGAGGCGTTGCAGCAGATCCTGATGGACATGAGGCTGAATAGCAGCAGAAGTTTGTGAACCTGAAGGAGAAAAACAACCTGCCACTTTTAATCAGTCAAAACATCCCAGAATCCTCCGCACCACCCAACATGTCCTCCGTCCTCCTCCTAGCGCTGTGATTTTTTTCTCCTCTTTTGTAGCCTCAACCTGAAATTCTAGATGATTTAGAAAACGGAGATGCACAATTTTAAAATTGGTACTTTTACTTGTTAAAGTTGCAGAATCTGTGTTTGAACCAGTTACAAGCTGTGTGCAGTGAGTTTGTGTGTCCTGCTGATGCGGTGGGACACACCCCGGTGGAGACAGATGAATGACTCAGACTCTTTGACCTTAAAGTCGTCCAGTAATACGACACAAACCACTTCGTTGTCTCAGACCATATCTGTCTTTTCCACAGCAGGCAGCTGTTAGGAAACAGACGCAGTGTTTATTGGTTTTATTTACTTATTGTTTCCGCCGCTTGTTTTGTCTCTCCTTGTCAGTCTGAAGACACGGAGAGACAGAAGGACCACATACACGACGTTCAGGGTTTGGGCAAACCGCCTCCCTGTGGGGTCGAGCCGAGGTAACGATTTACCAGAAACTGAGAACTTCAGCTGCGTTCTGTTGAGATCTCACGACAGGCAAGGATGCCAAGATTGTGGCTCGTTTTTTTTCCCTCATCTTGTTTAAAATTTTAATCTCTTTTGGTTTTTGCCGTTCCAGTTTTTAATCAGAAGCAGAGGAGCAATTTGACACAAACTGAATTGTTTAAATATTGCCTGTTGCCAACAACCAATGACTCTTCCTTCATATATGTGTGCAGTCACTCACATAAGCTCAGAAATTATACAGATTTTATTAGCCACATAAGATTTATACCACAAAGTAACATACATAAATCACTTTACAAATGTAAACGTATTGCATGGAATTAAATTGGTAAGAAATAAGGTGTGGAAGGTTGGAGTTTTAGGGTTTTAAAATAAAAAAACATGAGCTTTAAAAAGCAATAAGATCCATCATAACATCTGACTGGATCAGAGGTTCTTGGTTCTGAAAACAAAAACTTGAACAGTTTAGATTCTTCAACTAAACATTTACAGTGTGTGTCTTGGTTTAAAACGACAAATTCCTCTGGATAAAGATCTGACCCAAAGGTTGATGGATCTGTCCCGGCTAAAAAAGATTTTCCAGAATCATCTTTCTGAAAATTTAGTTCTTATACAACTAAGCTTTGCAAAGCATTTTAACCTTGAAAAATATACAAAAAAGTTGAAAGTTGACAAAGATTTTTTTTGGGGGGGGTGGGGGGGGGTCGGTCTGTGACGTCTGGAGGTTTTTCATGCTCTCCTGCTTGGGCATCAGACCAATTTTCTCCCATTTCGTTTAACCTTTTCATCACGTTTCCTCTCTGCTCCATTCTGTCTGCTGAACATTGTTTAGAGAACTGTGGCCCCTCATCCCCCCCTCGCCCCCGCAAGAAAAACAAAAGGCAGTTCTGCGTCCCTATTAGAACGAGATGCGTAATGTGGGGAAACATGGATGTTWGTCTGGATTACTTAACCGTTTATGCTCTTTTGTGGGGAGAGCGGAAGAGGAAGTGGGGTTCACTGGGTTCTGCTCTGCGGCTTAATAAGATTAATCTGGTCTGATTGAGCTGACAGAAACCAACGGTCCCGGGCATCAGCAGCTTCTCTCCAGCTCCTCCTGAGAACAAATATTCGACATGTTTCCACCTGAGAGGTACAAGCTGTGAGCAACAGGAACATCTCTCTGTCCTAAAGGGTTTAAACCCACTCACGACTTCAGATTTTATGCTATTTCAGCTGTTTATAAATCAAAAATCTACAGCTCTTTTAGGAGATAGAGGAGCTGAGACRTTTAGGATTTGGAACTTTTATAGTTTTTAAAATATTTAACTTTGGTTACAAAAATTTTTTACATAGAAAAACATTAAAATCTTTCAATCTTCAGTTATAAATCTGATTTAGCATATTTGCTTTGCTGTTGTCTTATGCTACTTTTAGCTTTTAGTTATTCTTTTGCTACTTTTAGCTTTATTAATATTACTTCAAGCTAGCCTTTAATATTGTTAGGAACATTTTGTACTGTAAGCTAGCAAACTTTTTATTTTAGCTTCTATCTAATAGGTTGGTACTTTTGGTTAACCTTTTGCTACTTTTAGCTTTTATTTTATTTACCATTATTTAACCAGGCAAATCCCGTTGAGATCTCAGATCTCTTTTTCAAGGGAGGCCTGGGCCTGAAGACAACAAATTGTACATGTTTTTAGGGGTGGGAGAAACCGGAGTACCCAGAGAAAACCCACACAAGCACGAGGAGAACATGCAAACTCCACACAGGAAGACCCCAGGTCTGAACCGGAGATCAAACCCAGGACCTTCTTGCTGTGAGGTGTTGGTGCTAACCACTGAGCCATCATGCGACCAATTAACACTACTTATTAACACTACTTTTAGCTAGCTTATAATATTTTTAGCTACTTTTTTCAACTTTAAGCTATTATTCTCATTTTAGCTTCTAGCTAGTTTGCTGGTACTTTTTAACTTTTAGTTATCTTTTTGCTAATTTTAGCTTTATTAACACTACTTTTAGCTAGTCTTTAATATTGTAGCTACTTTTTCTACTTTAAGMTTGTTCACATTTAACTTCTAGCTAATATTTTTGGTATTTTTTAGCTTTTATCAAACATTTTGCTGCTTTTAGCAAGTGTTTTGATCATTTTGGCTGCTGTTTTGCTGGTTTAGCTCTTAGCTAGAAGTTTGCCACTTTTTGCTTCCAGCTACTGTTTTGTCTCATTTTGCTTTTTGATACTTTTGACTCTACTAGTTTTAAATAACTTTTATTTTTTTTAGCTACCATGTTAGTTAACGTTGTYCTCATTTTATCTTATAGCCAATGTTTTGGTACTTTTGGCTTACATCTAACATGTTACAGCTTGTTATTTATTTTTGTCTGCCCTTTTGCTAGTTTAGCTATTACCTAATTATTTCCTTTGGCTACTTTTAGCTTATAGCTAGAAATTTACCACCTTTAGCTTCCAGGTAGGGCTGCCACAAACTGTTATTTTTAGAGTCAACTAATCACCATTTTTTTTATTAGTCAACTAATCGTACCATACTTTAATTGAATATAAAACATACAGCTTATCACGCCAGAATGCAGCTGCTATTATATAAACATCGTTAAATTTTAGCTATATGCTAACTTAAAATAACTGCCTTGGAAGGCAAGTTCTGCTCTGCAGATATTACACAGGTTTCTCTTTCATTTTCTTAAAATGATCCCACACTTTGAGCTCTGTTGTCAGGTAGCCATGATACCAGAGCCTGTCTGTATAATGTCTTGTGACGTCCACGGCCTACCCCAGTTACCACTACTGTGCATGTGTGTCAAGGACAGAAAGGCAGATGTGGCAGTGGAAGGTGTCAAAGCAGTTTGGAGAGAAAAACAAAGTTAAAAAAAAAGACTAAATCGACCATTAAATTAGTCGTCGACTATTTTAATAGTTGATTAGTCGTCGACTAGTCAGCTAATCATGGCAGCCCTACTTCTGTTTCGCTACTTTTAGCTAGAAATTTGCAACTTTTGACTTCTCTTTTATTGCTTTAGCTTTTAGCATTGGCCACTGTTGGCAGTTTTTTTTTTTTTTGGTTTATTTTAACCTATAGATGGAATTTTGCTTGTAACTAATGTTTTGCTGCTTTTAACATTTCAGCTTTAATAACCTTGTCTCAGCTCATTCGGCAAGTTTTAGCAAATTCATTCAGCTCTTGGAGTCACTCCATCTTCACAGACAATGTAATTTCTTGCTCATATTATTAAGACTCATGAGCCCCTTGGATCGTGACTGTTTTTCTTGTAATTGTTTTATTTTTCTGCACGGTATCTTGCTTTTATTTTTTTTTATCTTATTTCATCTTTATAGTCCAGTCCAGTAATTTTTATTTTTATTTTATTTTATTTTATTATTTTTAGTATTATTTCTTCTTCTTTAGATAGTTCTTTTTTTCATGTACAGTGCCCTGGGACAACGTATGTTGTGACTTGGTGCTATATAAATGAATTGAATTGACTTGAATTATTTTAATTCTATTATTATTGCTACAGCTGATAATGTCACATAGTGTTTCTGTGGACTGCTGCTGCTGTTGAACCTGAATTTCCCTGCCGCGGGACAATAAAAGCTGTTTCCTTTTTCTCTTTTGAGGTATTTGCATCATGTTTGGTTTACACCTGCTGAAAAATTCAACTTCAATTGGGTTGACATGAGATGACAGCGAAAATCTTTTATCAGATAAATTAGATTCTGCTGAAGCTTGAAGTTGCTGAAGACTGAAAGACTCACCTGTGATGAAGGTGTAGGTGTAATCTGAGTTGTCCCTCACTAAAGGGAAGAACGTCTTCCAGGAGACAAATGTGCTGAAAAGTAACGTTTCAATAACCTGAAGATTTAACAGGAAGAAACAAAACTATAATCAGCTGCAGGGATTGTTTTTACAGCCTGTATTCCCAAGTGAAACAAGCACTAAAAGTGTGGAATATCTGTATTTATCTTGTCTGCTGACCCAGTGCAGGTCTTTGAGCGTCTGGGTGTGAGGGGGTCCTCCCTGCCACCAGCTGAAGCCMAGAGAGGAAACGATGTCCGTCACCTTCCCCACCTCCTTCAGCAGGGTCTGCTTCACCTTCTCTGCTCCTTCCTCTGATCCTGAAACAAACAACGACAATGATTTTATTTCAGCCTGGAAATGAAGGACCTGAAAATGCATCGCTGCTGGATTCAAGGAATCTGAATGAATGATAATTTTAAGAAATTATAGTCCCTCTAAACATATCCATCCACCCATTTCCTGCTAATTATCTGAGATTGGGTCACAGAGGCAACAGGTCCAGTGACACCCTCCATCTCCTCTAAGGGAGCCCTAAGGCTTTCCCAAACCAGAGAAAAGTATAATCCTTCTATGAGTTCTGCAGTGTTGTATAAAGTACCACAAAGTGATACTTGAGTAAAAGTACAAGTACCTTACCAAAAAATTACTTTGGTAAAAGTTAAAGTCTCCTTTAGGAATATTACTTGAGTAAAAGTACAAGTACCTTACCAAAAAATTACTTTGGTAAAAGTTAAAGTCTCCTTTAGGAATATTACTTAAGTAAAAATCTTAAAGTATCTGATATTTTTTGTACTTGAGTATTAAAAGTAAAAGTACTGATTAATGAACAGTTAGATTTTCTGTAATGATATTTATTAGGAGGTGACCCCCCCTCCCCCCAAAAAAAAGAAAAAGAAAAAAAACTGCAGAAAGGACTATAGTATGAAAATAATTTGTTAAATTTAGGATGCACTAGTCTAGCTATTTCATTTTATATGCATATATCAAGGCTGCCCAAAACTTTTCTTGAGTAATTATTACATTTGGCCGCAAAATAAAAATCTCTCTGAGGGCTGCGGCCAAATGTAATAATATAATTCATGAAATACAAATACTTCTTAAGTACAGTCCTTTTATTTTAATGATTATGTCCTGCTGGAGTGGGACATGAATACGGTATCAGAATTTTGTATATTTTTACTTCTCATTCAACCACAATTAAATTCACTCTAGGAGGAACAATTTATATGATAGTATTTGTTTTATAGAATAACACGCTGGAATGAAAACAAGCACAAATGAAATAAAAGTAACGACTTTCTACTTCTTTCCTTTTTTAAAAGTGTAAGAAGTAGAAAGTACAGATAACTGAAAATTAAGAAGTAAAAAGTAGGCTGAAAAATAATTACTCAAGTAAAGTATAGATACCCAAAAATTCTATTTAAGTACAGTAACAAAGTATTTGTGCTTGGTTACTTTACAACTCTGGAGTTCTGGCTCTTCTTCCAGTGGGACACACCTGGAAAAACTCTACAGTGAGGCACCTTGATACCTGAACCACCTCAGCTTAACTTGAATGATGATCCTTCCTCAAGTCTAAGGTTGAGCAAGACCCCCATATGGAGAAAGCTCTTTTAGTCAAGACCACATGTGAGGAAAGGAACACTCCCGTTACTTCTGATGATGTTGGTGAGACTCCAACAGAACCACACTATCTGCAAAAAAGCATACAAGACTCTGTGGTTCCCAAACCTGACACCCTCCTCTTAATGCTTCATGACTGCACTTTGAGATCCTGTCCACGAACATCAAAAACAAGACTCAGGACAGCCCTGGTGGAGTCCAGCCTGTGCACCAGGATCAAGCTCGACTTGGTGCCAAGAATGAAGACAAATTTTTTTTCTCTGGTTCTACAGAGACTATGGGAGCAACCCAGGCACAGAGTACCTCAAAGAGCACTGTCATCAGCCTTCTCCAGATCTACATGATGTAAAATTGTAATTCTGATTTAAAAATAGACGCAGCAGACTATCATCAGGACTCCGACTCACCCACGTTGCCCACTATAGTGGTGAGGTTATCCTTTGTGTTGGGAGAGACGAAGGAGCGGAGTTTGTCGAGCCGGCCGCTGTCCCTGGAAATCACTGCAACCTTAAAACCTGCAGACACAACACTGAGCACATTATTTTTAAGACACAACATAAATGATAGATGCAGCATCATAACCCTCAATATCATCTGAGTGGTAAAAACAACCTGTAAACCTTAAATTCTTATTGGTGTGTTTTAGAGAACATTCTGCAAACGGACAAAGACCACTAAATATTTAAATTACACCCATCCATATGAACCATAAATTGGGATTTATAAGTTGATAGCAATGATGGGAAAATATGGAAATAAGACCCTAAGCCACCAACAGAAAAAAACTCTAACATAATAAATCTAAAAAGAAGTCGTCCCAAACAATTCTGTCAAAACAAGACAAAACAATCACAGAAAAGAAGCAWATTTATGACAAAAAATGTGTCATATTCTCAATTCTTTGGTACAAAGTGTCAGGATCTGTGTCTATTGGTTTCATCCTTGATAATTTAATTTGGGAAGCAAAAACAACTTCGTATTTTAGACATCTAATAATGAAATAACGTCTGAAAGATTACTAATAAATAAGAACTTAATTAAGGCACGCCTGCATGGATGAGGGACAAGGGTTCAACCATTTTAATGCATGAATTTATTAAAACACACTCTTAAAGTAAAGCAAAGCAAAGCAAAGCAGCCTATCTGAACCCAAAACACCAGAAAAGCTGAAAGTCCTTTTGCGTAAAATCCACATCTCCACTTTTACGCGTCCGTGCGTAAAAGTAATATGGTGCATAAAAATGATAATTAAAATTAATAATTACATTCAGTAATTAAACATCACTTGTGTGTCTTTTGCTGCAGAAAAGGTTTTTTTTATTTATTTTTATTTTATTTATTTATTTTTTGCATCTACCTGGCGCCGCTCACCTTTATCCAGCAGAGCCTTAACGATCCCAGAGCCCACCGTCCCCGCTCCCCCAAGCGCCAACACGACCCTGTCTGAGTTCGACATGACTGCTGCAGCTGCCCAGCTCAACAGGAAGGATGGAGACAGACGCTGAGTGCGATGGAAGCCGAGTGGCTCTCACTTCTGTGGAGCATCCTGGATGAACCAGGGAGCTTTAGAGCAGAACCGCCCCTCCAAAGCCACGCCCGTGGGCACAAAGACGCATCATTCTTCCACTTGTCACCTCAAGAATCAGCGCATCTTAATCCTATCTTTTAAGTCCTGCTTTAAGGTTTTAGATGTACAGATTATGGACTCAATCTTGAATACTTTCTGACACATGCAATGCTTGAGATTAAGTATTTATGTCAACGAATGGATAAGAGCATTTATTGATGGGATTAAATTAAAATTATTTAGCTGCAATAAAAATGATCAAAATCTTCTAATTCTGACTTCTCAGTTGTTAAAGTTTGCTTCTTTGCTTTTTTGTCACACATTAATTTTTTGTCAGTATGTATTTTGTGTCAAATACTGATCACAAAATTAAATGCAATTTGCTTGCTTTGTGTGTGTGTGTGTGTGTGTGTGTGTGTGTGTGTGTGTGTGTGTGTGTGTGTGTGTGTGTG